CCTTTCTTCCATTCCTCTCTCTCCCTCTCCTCCTCTCTCCTTCTCCTCCTTTCCTGAAAGACAAAGTTTGTCGGTAAGAAAAGCAAGACTTTCTTGAAGATCTCCTGACAGAGGTACCACTGTACTGTTTAAAATATATATAGGCACTTCTATATTATTAACATGAGGTTTATATATAATTTTAACAATTATTTTGTAGTTTTAGATATTGAAGTCACAATTTTATAGCTTTGTATTAATTATTCTCATTTTTAGCTTTTTTCTTTTCGATATTTTTATTTAGCTTTTTTTATTTTTTACTATTTTGGTACAGGTTCCAATATCTTATATTGTGATCAACTTGGCTCTGCCAAATTGGACGCTTCTGTGCATGCGCAAAAGTGTCACACATGCATGCATGAGCAAACCGGTAGCAATGGGATTTGGAACCTGCCCCTGCTTGGGACCCAGTGCATGTAGTGGCTGATGGGTTAGAGAGAAGATCTCTACCCCGATGTCAATTGTTCTCTTAGGGTTTTTTTTTCTTAATTTTTAACTGTTTTGTATTATCTTTTTATTATGCTATAATCCACCTGGAGTCACTGTTACAGTGATAGAAATGACATAATAATAATAATAATGTAAATAATAAAGTAAATAATAATAATAATGACCAGTGGAGACATGATCTAGTTGCTAAATTAGTCCACTGGTCATTATGTAAAACATACTACATACCTGTATCTGAAAAGTCATGGGAGCACAAAGTGGAAAAAGTTATCAAAAATGAGACAGTGAAGATCTTGCGGGATTTTTGAATACAGACAGATCGTCATTTGGAACACAACATGCCAGATATCACAGATTTTGAAGGTCAAAGCATACAGTTTATTGACATCACTGTACCAGGAGATGCCAGAGTCGAAGAAAAAGAACTGGAAAAAATCATGAAATATCGCAACCTGGCCATTGAAACTATACCAGTCAATCGTATTTGTGACACATTTTTAAATGTTCAGTTGACCAAGTTTCATGTTTAATGACTAAAATAATAATAATAATAATAACAACAACAACAAGTTTTCACAGTTGTCAAAACTGAAGCGTACAATTTATTGATATCGCTGTACCAGGAGACGCCAGAGTCGAAGGAAAAGAACTGGAAAGAATCATGAAATATTGTGACCTGGCCATGTAACAGTGATATCCATTGCAATTGGGGCACTTGGTACCATGTCCAAGAATTGTACAAAATATATGAAGAAATTGCAGCTTCCTGCAAATAACACCAGCGAAACTGCAAAAAACTACGCTATTCAGAACATCATACATTTTAAGAAGATACTTGGTTGATGCCTAGGATGCTGGCAGCAACTGTATGTATCAATCATCAGTGCCAGTCAATGATATTTGTGATACATTTTTAAATATTCAGTTGACTGGGTTTCATGTTTAATGAATAAAAGAGATATAACAATAATATCAATAACAAATTTCTCACTTAAAATCCCCTAACAAACTCCTATTAATATTCTCAGATTTGTTCCTTTGAAACAAACTGACATAGGTTTACAGCAGTCTCTGCTTGCTAAGCAGCTCCGCAATTGAGAATATGATAGGGAGGACAATCAGCAGCTAACCAGGAAAGGACATTTTCACTTCACACAGTGAGCACATCATGTAGTCCCTAAAAATATACTTCTTTTTCAGGTCACACGTCGGTCTCTTCCATTTATTGAATTCCATTGTCAACTCCACTGTTCAATCTCATTGTTCCTTCACTCCCTAAGAACTTCCTATTTTTTCTCAAAAGAGCACGAATTCCAGAGGATACGACAACACACTGTGATATCCAGTGATTAGTCAGCCAGTTGTTTTCACAGACAAGAGAGAATATGCTGGTTCCTTGGATGAGAGAAGGGGGTGAGACCAATTATTTTTACAAACAAGAATGCCTTATTTTAGCATGAGATGGGAAATTAATCTGATTCACTGAAATCAATGTATGCGGTAAAATAATTTTTTTTAAAAAAAAATATTGATTTAGCTATATAACTATTTATTTTACTTAAATGTGCCCCATTATGTCACTCATAATTTAAGGTAGATTATAAGTAGCAAATTATAATAGCAACTTTAGCAGCAATGAATGAATCTACAAACATAAGGAATTCTGAATTGCCAATCTTGTTTTGCAGACGATCCAGGCAGGTCACAATTCATTTCAAAGCAAATGTATGTATTTACATCGGAGTACATTTCAGACTCCAAAGGAATTTGCCCTTACATTTAAAAAATGTGTGGCCCCAGAGCATCACATAGAGCTGTTTTCCATGTTTTTAATTATTTTCTTCAGAGTTTGAAGAAATTATGGGCCATAACAATTATGTACCAAGATTTTAAAGGATAAAACAGATTGGAGTATGTAGGAGGTAGTGGCTAGTACATGAGAAAGAAAAGGAGGCGAAGAATATAGTAACTGAGTGGGGAGTAGCAAAACAGAAGTTGAACTTTATTGCGTGCTGTTCCAGTAATTGCAACATTTCTGTCTAAGTAGTATTTTTTTCTCTCTGCCAAGTCCCATTTCAATATCATCCTTAAAGTTTGCACTATTTTATTCTGCAGTCGGCTCTGAATGATTTCTTATTCTCAATGTTGTTCTTTCCAGAACTGACACATTCTTTTCAGGTATTCTCTTCTCATTGGATATGATTTATAACAGCAGATCATTTATTTTGTTGTTGTTTTCAGTCTTTCTATATTTGAGAGTGATAAAATACTTTTTTGCTCCACTAGACCTGCAGCTCTTGGTTGTGTTTGCTCAGCCAACAGTCCTAAATCCAGCAGCGTTTGTCACCAGCATCCAGGAACTCCAACATCTAGCTTGGTCTTTGTTGCCTTGGACAATGACCAATCCAGTATGCGTTTCTGCAAATTACCTTTCACCATATTGTTTATGGGAGAGATACTCTTTTTCTGGCTCCTCTGATGAGACCTGTCCAGTATGGTTGATCCTCTGGCAAAGTGGTCATCTTCTTCAGAGCATGCAAGCCTGACAACCATGTCAAGGTAGTGTCTTATTGAATCTATGAAATTCACAGAAGGGATCTCAGAAGGCTTCTGGTCCAGCTGAAGGCAGAAGCCTTATACTATCCCAGTCAAACGATTCTCCAGTCCAGTTTTGAAAACCTCCAGTGATGGAGCACCCACAACTCGAGGAGGCAAGTTTCCATTAATTGTTCTGTCAGAAAATTTCTCCTTGCTTCTTGGTTGCATCTTTCATTAACAGGCTTCCATCTATTACTTGTCCTGCCCTCTGGAGCTTTGGAGAATAAGTCAATCTTCTCTCTTCTGTGACAGTCCCTCAAGTACTAGAAGAGAGTTTTCGTGTCCCTTCCTAATTCTTCTCTTCAATAGGCCAGATAGAGCTTCCGTACTTTACGGAGTATAAGATGCACTCCCCCCCCCGCAAAAGAGGGTGGAAATGTTGGTGCATCTTATACACCGAATACAGCCATTTTTGGCCTCCCAAAACCCCACCCTGCAGATCCCATTTTCGCCAAAAACAGGCCCATTTTTCACAAAAACAGGGTGGGCAGAGAGTTTGGGAGGCCTACAGAGTGCTCCTGGGGGCTGGGGAGAGCAAAAACACGACGTGGGGGGGGTGTTGGGAGGTGAAAAACGGGCCAGTTTTTTGCAAAAACGGGGTGTGCAAAGGGTTTGGGAGGCTTGCAGAGTGCTCTTGGGGGAGGGGGAGGGCAAAAACACCTGGGGGGTTTGGAAGGCAAAAAACGGACCCGGTTTTCGCCTCCCCACCCCCCCATACATCAACTCTCTGCACATCCCATTTTTGTGAAAAACGGGCTCATTTTTTGCAAAAACGGGACGCACAGAGGGTTTAGGAGGCCTGGAGAGACCTCCTGGGGGCTGGGGAGGGCAAAACCCTTTTTCTTCTTGTTTTCTTCTTGAAATCTTGGTGAATCTTATACTCGGTGAGTCTTATGATCCGAAAAATACGGTAATTCCCTCAGCCATTCTTCATATGTTTTAATTTCTAGGCTGTTTATTATATTTGTAGGCATCAGGCTACAATTTGGTAAACTGTGAGTTCTAATCCCACTTTAGCCATAAAAAACAGCTTGGTGACTTTAGGCCAGTGACTGTTGCAAAGTTACAACGGTACTGAAAAAAGTGACTTATGACCGTTTTTCACAGGTACCTTTGCAGTATCCCCATGATCATGTGATCAAAATTCAGATGCCTGGCAGCTGGTTCATACTTACAACCATTGCTGTGTTCCAAGGTCATGAGACCTTTTTTCCAACAGGCAAAGCCAACGGAGAAGCCAGATTCACTTAACAACCGGGTCACTAACTTAACCGCAGTGGTTCACTTAACAAATGTGGCCCGAAAGGCCTTAAAAAAAAGGTCACAAAACTTACTTAACAAATGTCTCACTTAACAACAGAGATGTTGGGCCCCATTGTGGTCCTAAGTCGAGGACTACCTGTATTTATAAAACTTTTCTGTTGTAAGTTGTTGGATATGAGGTAGGCGGCAAATAAATTTATAAATAAATAACTAACTAAATAAAATAAAGGCGGGATATAAAATAAATAAATATAAAATAAATAAATAAATAAAAAAATATTTTTAAAAATCGGTCCTCTGATTCCAAGTCCCCGAAAATTCCCACGTTAAGAATCAATGTTTTCCATTTTCAGGAACCAGCTTTGCTACTTGGAGCATCTTTCTCTCGCTCAGACCTCCGGTTTAGCTCCGCAAACTCCGTTCCCTTCCCTGCTTTTCAGCTTCGCCCTTCTCCCGGATCGCTGAGGAAACTTCCCGCCGCCCTTCGGCCGCTTTTCGCGGCCGGCCCGCTCCTGCCCATTCCGTCCTTCTGTATCATAAGCACAGAGCAGCCACGGGGCAGGGCGGGGTGGGATGGGGGGGGTCAGCTGGGCGGCGGGAGGGTGAGCAAGGGGGAAAAAAAGCGCTTCATTCTCTCCCTCCCTCCCTCCCGCTTTACGGCTGCTGAAACCCCTTTCCTCTCCTCCCTCCCCCTCTCCTCTGGACAGCCCAGTGTCGCCGTTACAGCGTCCGGCCTCCTTCCTTTTTAAGGTAAACGCAGCCGACCCCGAGGGGATGGGAGAGGAGAGGAGGAGGGGGAGGGGGGTGGGTTGAGGGAAGAGCCGAAGACCGTAGTTGGCGAGCGGAAAGTTGGAAGAAGTCCAGAGACGAGGCGCGCGCGCGCGCGTGCGCTCCCTCGCTACGCAGTGGCGGCGCGCGCCGTTCCGGGACCAGGTCGGCGGGAGGGCGCGCGCGCCGCTGTTGCTGCTGCTATTGCAGCCGCTGCCGCCGCCGTTCTCGTCAGGCAGCCGCAACTTTTATATGTGTACTGGCGGCATTTCCAGAGCCAAAGGGGTTTCTCACGGTTGGGCTTGGCTCGGGTTGTCTTCTCTCCCCCCCACACACACACTTTTTTCCTCTGGAGAGGCTAGAATGAGCCGACCCGGTCGTGAGAAGAAGGAAAAAAGAAAAAAAATGGGGAGAAAGTGGAGGATCCTAAAGCCCCCCCACCTCCTCGACCCCAATGCAGTCGGCGGAGCTCTTTTGCGCAGAGGGAGGGCTGAGGATTTTTTTTTTTATTTTTTTTTATTGAGAAGAGTTTGAGCTGTCATTTGAAGACCGGTCTACACACGACTTTTAGCTAACTGCTTCTTGTTTAAAAAAATAAAACCAACACGAGTGTCCCTTGTAGCCTTCCTCGACCTGGTGCTGTGAGAAGCAGGGCAGCGGGGCTGGGAATTGTCCAGCACGACGTAGAAGATTAGAGAGAGCGAGAGAGCGAGAGAGAGGAAAGGCCACGTAAAAAATGCTCGTGCCACGGCTTAAATCGGACGCCGAGATTAACTTGAGCCTCTTGGCCGAACCGAGCAGCGGTTGTCTGCAATGCAACTCGGGTGGGAAGGAAACGGTCCGCTAAACTGATCTTGTGCTTGGGTTTTGCGGAGGTTGGGTTTTCCGATTTTCCTACGAGATCTCTCCGAGGTAGGGCTCAGCTGAGTGTAGGCTTGCAAATATCTATATATTTATATATATATATATAGCCAGGTTGCGAGGTTTAATCAGGGTAGGTCCTTGCTTAGCAACAATTCAAGAAGTAGTTGGCCGCTGGACTCCTCCAGGATTTCTTTTCAACGAATTTTATATATGCTGGGGTTTCTTAGTGGTCTTCCATCAAAACTATTAATCAAGGCTGGTGCTGCGCAGCTTTCTTGCGATCGGCCAAGGTTGGGTAGGTGCTGCCACCTACTGTAGTACAGGCCAATGATTAGGTGCTATAAAAGGGGGGGGAAAGTTACTTAAATCCGATAACCCCGATCAAAACCAACTCCAAAGAGCATACTATTACCATCATAATCACTACGCTAGAACAAACAAATACCCTAATAGGGACACGTCCTCTTTGTGGGTTTGTTTTGTTTAACAAACCTTTAACTGGTCTCTGCCAATTTCCAGGTTCATCTTTTATTTTTTTAATTTAAATACCATGTTTCCCTGAAAATAAGACACTGTCTTATATTTTTTTTGAACCCTGAAATAAACACTTGGCCTTATTGCCATGCGCTCAAAAGCCCGATTGGGCTTATTATCAGGGAATGTTTTATTTTGCGGAAAACGGGGAATGTTTTATTTAAACACATTTTCATTAAGATGCAAATGAAAAGAAACATAGTAGGGAAAAATGGGGAAAGAAAAGTACAGGATAAAAGAGAAAAAGAAAAGCCACAGACTTCCAACTTTTTCAGCATGATAGAATAAAAAAATAAAATTACAGCCTCAAGTTTTTACTTTTTACATACTAGCCATTTTTGTAACAACAAATCAGTGGGCAAATCTCAAAGTCAAGATTTCATTTTTTTCCCCCTATCTTGAGCACAACGTTTAGAAGCAATTTCCAAGTAGAAACAAAACTACATATATTTGTTAATTAAAACAGTTAATTTTGCCATTTTTGATAGCTCCGTTACTTTTCCTATACATTCTTTCAGTGTGAGGATGGATAAATCTTTCCATTTTTGCGGATAAAGGATTCCTGCTGCAGTAAAGGTAAAATGTTTGTATCACCTTTACAGGACCTGCAGAAAAATCTTCCTGGTTATAGTTGTCCCAAAGGTGCTTTTTCAAGAGGCAACTGGACTTTCTGGTTTTTGTTTGAAGACGTTTCGCTTCTCATCCAGTCAGAGCTGAAGAAACTTCTTGGATGAGAAGCAAAATGTCTTGAAAGAAAAACCAGTTGCCTCTTGAAAAAGCACCTTTGGGACAAACATGACCTTGATGACTCTTTCCATAGATTCTGGTTACAGATATAGTTTGGCAAGCTTGTGCCATCCACTCTGATCGTGTGCATTTTTTCACTGGCATCCTGATTGCACAAGACGGGTTTAAGTTGGGTTCACTCAACATGCCGAACCCTTGTTGTTAGTTGCGAAGTCGTGTCCAACCCATCGCAACCCCATGGACAATGTTCCTCCAGGCCTTCCTGTCCTCTACCATACTCTGGAGTCCATTTAAGCTCACACCGACTGCTTCAGTGACTCCATCCAGCCACCTCATTCTCTGTCGTCCTCTTCTTCTTTTGCCCTCAATCTTACCCAGCATTAGACTCTTCATGCCAAACCCTAGTGGGATTAAATTTTCTTTGGGTTTGATATATTTTGAGAATCTATCAATGGTGGTTTGCTAGCCATATTTTATGATTTAGTGGGTTATGAAAACCAAAACGTTTGTGGTTTATTGAATCCCCAAAGGAACTATGTTTTACCATGCCTTTTGTCAAACACAATTACTCTTTGTATAATACATTAAACTAAAGTAGCCAACAACAATTCAGCATTTGGTGTTGTACAGATCTGTGGCTAGTTTATGATTGAATGTGTCAGTTATAAAACAAGGTTTTATCTAGCGTAGATGAGATTAATATCACATGAACATATTTAATTTAGGTGAAAGTAATATATAAGTAGAGTCCTAGCCTGACTTTATGACTGTACAGAAATAAACCCCACACTGGATTTAATGGTTCAGTGGCAGCTTTATTAAGCCGTAAGCCCAACTAACCTCAGCAATACCTTTTTAGGAGCATATACAGCAATAAAGCTATACTCTTAAGGAAATTTATTTGGGAGTAACTTTAGAATATAAGGAATTAGTACCTAATTTTGAAGAAAATTAACAGATCTCCAAAGGATCTTGCTTTGGGATTGTGTAGAGAGTAAAACTCATAGAAACAAGAAGAGTTGGTTTACATTGTTGATCCTGTTTTCTGACTAAGATATGAATTAGGATCAGCTGGTACACGTCCTCAAATTATGACCACTATTGAGCCCAAAATTTCTGTTGCTAAGTGAGACAGTTGTTAATTTTGTGAATTTTTGATGTTTCTCACCCCAGGTAAGTTAGTAACATGGTTGTTAAGTGAATCTGGCTTCCCCATTGACTTTGCTTATCAGAAGGTCACAAAAGGTGATCACATGACCCCAGGACTCTGCAACCATCATAAATATGAGTTGGCCAAACAATGTCAACTAGCGACACCCAGGGGGAGAGCCTTCTCTGTGGGGACACCTGCCCTCTGGAATGAACTGTCCCTGGAGGTTCGCATGATCCTTACGCCGTGCCCTTAAGACTCTTTTGTTCCAACAGGCCGGGCTGGCTTAGAAAATGAATTTTAAATTGGGTGTTTGTAGTTTTTAACATAAGGGCCAAATTTATATATTTATTTTAAATTGTTTTTTTTAAATTTTGTGAGTATATGTTTATTTTAATATGGCTGTACACCGCCCTGAGTCCTTCGGGAGAAGGGCGGTATAGAAGTTTAATAAACTAAATCTAACCTAAACTAACCTAACCTAAATGAACTATTATAAGTTGAGGACTACCTGTATATGTGGATTACCTGTTTGCATTTACTTTATAATGTGCTTGGAATTTGCACTTCATTGTGATTGAAATCGTCTCATTAAATGTGGTTCATACACTCCGGTTGATTAAATTTCTGCCATAGAATGTTTTAATGATATCTATTGGAATAGCAAAGCTTCTAGTTTTCAGTGGAAGTTTATTCTGAAAGTAAATACTGATCTGAATTCAGTTAAAGCTACTCCTTAATAAGAACACTTAAGTCTGCAAGATCCTGCTCTTAAATCTTTGCAGCATTCAGAACATGATTTACTACCAAGTTTTATTTGCCACTGATACCAACTTGCTACGTAGCTTGCTTGGTTCTGTTTCATGCTCTATTAAATTCTGAGAAAACTGGAAATTAATTGGTCTGACGTATTAATCTGCATAATGCAAATAAATGTGATTCATCTTGCACAAAGGCATATTATTTTTATTTTTTTATTTTTAATATGGTATTCCTTTTTTTAATATGCTGGATTTTAATGCTGTCCTGCATTCATTTAAAGGGGACCTGACAACCTACAAATAGGCTTCATGGTAATATGATTGGTGGGTTTGTCATAATAATTTTAACTTTATTGCTTAACAGCATTGCCTTCAGTTAGTCATCCAGAAGAGTATTTAATTATTTGTTTTCAATATGTTTGGATTATGTTTTTTAAATCTGTGTGCAATTAATGATTAATTGATAATGTAGCCTTTTACATTAAGAATTTTGCAGATATAGACAAATTGAACTGTATTCTACGTGTTCTCATCTAAGTAGATTAATAACCTACCCTATAGAACAGAGAATAACAGAGTTGAAAGGGACCTTGGAGGTCTTCCAGTCCAACCCTCTGCTCTAGTAGGAGACCCTATACCATTTCAGACAATTGGCTGTCGAGTCTCTTAAAGTCTCCAATGATGGAGCACCCACAACCTCTGAAGGCATGCTCTTCCACTGGTTAATTTCTCTTTAGTTTTCGGTTATTTCTTTCCTTGTTTACTTTTCATCCAGTGTTCATGTGTTGTGCTTTGGGGAATAGGTTGACCTCCTCTTCTTTATGGTAGCCCCTCAAATCTTGAAACACTGCTATCATGTCACCCCTAGTCCTTAAACTAGACATACCTAATTCCAGCAACCGTTCTTTATATATTTTAGCCTCCAG